ATAATCCACTCTACAACCCTCATTGCATACTCCTACGATAAAAATAATGCCCTAAAATATAATACTTTTAGACTATTCTCTCTCCCATAGATAACTGCACTTCTTGTCTGGAAGGCTTGGATTTCAGTGCAGGGAAGACTAAGTCTGTCCCTATGTTCTCAGCACAAAATGTCTCGGAGCTCTAGCTCCGACTTCTTGTGTCTCACTGAGTCAGAAGCAACTCTTAGCTGACTCTCCGGAGCATTTTCAGAGGCAGTGAATCGCACGGAAGGAGACTGCCCAGCCTTCTCCTGTGGAGTAGCTGGTAGATTTGAACCATGTGCCCTTGAGGTAGGAATGCAGTCTCTTACCCATTAGACCACCCTGCATATTTCTTAGTAAAGGCAGAAATATCATGGCAAAGCTTTACAGCAGAACTCAGAGGATACACCTTGTTTAAGTCAGAGATTTGTATGAGTTTATGAGTTTAGGCCACCACAGGTAATGCCACTGCATATACGAAATGCTCCGACAGCCGTGAGAGTATTTTAAACCCTGTGTGGAAATATAAAGATTTTCTTCCCTTATTTAGGAAGAATATGTAGGGGAACATAAAGAAAATATTTTTTCCTCCTTGTTTAGGAAGAATAACTTATTTTTCTGGATTTTTTAGAAGTTCATCTACATTAATGGCTTAAGGAGATAATTTAACCGCAAACACTGAAACTATGTTTTACCTCAAGTAGCTATATTATTGTACTGTTGTTGTTGTTGTTTGGTGCCGTCAAGTCGTAGGCAACTCATAGCGACCCTATAAATGAAACGTCTGAGCATTTTTCATAGGGTTTCTGGAGGCAAGCCATTTTGGAAGTGAATACATATTATTGTGTAGGCAATTTATAAGGGTAGCTCGGGAGGACAAACCAAAGCATTATAATAATGGAATATGCAGAAAGCTGGAATTGGAGAATAAAAAGGGAAGGACTCACTCTGCACTTCTCAAATCAAAATAACTGAAAAACAAATGGAGGCCTCACATTGTAATGTTGAAAGATGCTATGGGCAATGTATTGAATGACCCAGAACACATCAAAAGAAGTTGGAGGGACTATACAGAGTCACTGTACCAGAAAGAATTTATTTACACTGAAAAATTTCAGGAAGTACCATATGAACAGGAACCAATGGTAATGAAAGAGGAAGTACAAGCGGAATTGAAGGCACTGGCAAAAAAAATAAGGCCCCAGGAATAGATGAGATACCAATTGACTTGTTTCAATTAACAGATGAAGCCTTCAATGCACTTGCCAGTCTATACCAGGAAATTTGGAGGACAGGTGTCTGGCCAATGGATTCAAAGAGGTCCATATTTGTTCCTATTCTCAAGAAGGGTGATCCAAGTGAATGTGAAAATTACAATATAATTGCTATCACACGTTAGCAAAAAACTGCTCAAGACCATTAAAAAATGGCTGGAACAGTGCATAAATAGGGAATTACCAGAAGTTCAAGTGGGATTCAGAAGAGACCATTGCACCAGGGAGGGATATCATTGCTGATATCAGATGGATCCTGGCTAAAAGTAATACCAGAAGAATATTTATTTGTGCTTTACTGACTAGGCAAAGGCATTTAACTGTGTGGATCATGACAAACTGTAGCTGACATTGAGGAGAATGGGAATCCCAGGGCACCTGACTGTGCTCATGAGGAACCTATACCTGGATCAGGAGGCTGTTGTGCGAACAGAGAAGGGGAGCACTGCATGGTTTGGAATTGGGCAGGGAGTGTGTCAGCGATGTATTCTATCTCCATACCTGTTCAATCTACATGCTGAGCAAATTACCCAAGAAGCTGGACTCTATGCAGAGGAGTGCGGCATCAGGATTGGAGGGAGACTCTGTTATGCAGATGACACAACCTTGCTCACTGAAAGTGAGGAGGACTTGAAGCACTTGTTGCAGAAGATCAATGAATGCAGCCTTCAGTATGGTATACATCTCAATATCAAGAAAACAAAGAGTCTTACCAGTAAATCAATAGACAGTGTCATGATGGATGGAGAGGAGACTGAAACTGTTAACAGCTTCATCTTGCTTGGATCCACATTAACACCCTTGGTACAAACAGTCAGGAAATAAGGAGACACATTTCACTAGGAAAATCTGCAATTAGGGACCTTCCCAAATTATTGAGGATTGGTGATGTCAGTTTGAGGACTAAGGTGCATCTCATTCAGGCCATAATCTTTCTGATTATTAGCTATGCATCCAAGACCTGGACAATGAATAAGGATGACAGAAAAATAATTGATGCCTTTGAGCTGTGGCATTGGAGAAGAACACTGAACATCCCATGGACGACCAAGAAAACAAATAGATATGTCTTGGAGAGGGTGCAACCAGAGTGCTCTTGAGAGGCAAGAATGATAAGGCTTTGCCTAACATAGTTTGGACATATTACTAGGAGGTGCTGTTCCTTGAAGAAGGACATGATGTTGGGAAGAGTAGAGGGGCAGCGAAGGAGAGGAAGACACTCAACCAGGTGGAGTGACAAGGTGACTGCTGCAATGGGCTCTTGTGTGTTAGCAAGTGGGAGATGGCCCAGGAAAGGACTGGTTTCACATCTTTTGTTCCTAGTTCACAGAGTCGTTATGAGTCATACTAGACTCAATGGGACCTACCAATAACAACAACAAGCTATATTATTAAAATACATATTTTCTAATGTTATGTGCACATGATATCACTTGTGATTTCTTATAATACAAAGACTTTTTTTAAAGGCTCAACAACTTAAAACATTTTAGAATTGAAGGAAACCACAGCGGTTACCCACTGTTTCCTGGTCCACAGACATTTCCGCACACATCATTCAAGCCAGATGATAAAGCACTTTCAAACCAAATCACTTTGCCACCCACAGTTTATATCCTCCATTGCATTTTTAAAAATCACAGCTCTTATGAGTTTGACATTTTCCCTAAATTGCACTCCAATGTCCCCCTCTAATTTGCAAGCATTTCTCTTTTCTGCCAGGCATTACTCCTAGAACAAGCAATTATCACATTTGGAACATAATTAATGTTCTTTATGAGGAGTGCCTTTTCTCTGCTCTTTTCTCTTGACTCCTGATGCATCTGCATCATAATCAACCTCTTTCAACCAATGACCTTCTTCCTTATTTCTAAGACTAAGAAGAGACGAGATGGTCATGGGCACTGTGACCAGTGTGGCTCGTCTGACTGTTTACAGTGGTTTTCTTCCTAAGAGCTTCTCAAGAGGCTACAGCATTGTAACAAAAAGACTGGCTCATATTTTTGAATGAAAACCTTCGGAATGCCTAGGAGTCAGTGTTCTAGAACATTCTTTTTGGCAAATATATGAGATAACAAATTACATTTTTTTTCATTTACTCTTTTTTACTGAGTAATTTTTATTAAAAATGCAAATGTCTACGATATTTTAAAATACTTATTATATCCTCTCCTGCATATGTATGTTATTTAAATTACATAGGAGTTCTCAATGTATTATTCTAAGTCTGATAATAATACTGAGCCCTTAGTTCACTGAGGACAGCGGTGCAGGACGTGAAGGAAACGTCACCATCCTGTGGTCGGGACCCTGCAGCTTTCTGTCTTGTAGTGGATATCCTGTGGCTTTGTATACTGTTGTCAGTATCCTACAGCTTTGCCATCCTGTAGTACGGATTTCTTCATTTTATACTCAAGGCAGTGACAAGATCTTATTTTTTTATTATTCCAAACGCCTTGCTGAAATAGAGATGTACTACCACTAACATTTTAAGCAACTACTGAAATGAAGACATAGATAGCAACATGCCATTCAAGCTTGACACAGAGCTAGGAGAGATTTAACACGTCGGACGATGGTGTCAAGATTCTGACAGATTGAGTGGGATTTGGTGCCCCAGAATTCTGCAGCTGAGTAATAAGAAAGAAATTTAGCCCTAATATACATATTCATTATGTAAGAAAATTAATGTAACCTGTTTACTATTTATTATGTTTTTAAAATTTCTGTTTGCTCCACTACTGACAATCATATATATTTGAAATCCCAATAACTGTTTCACTGTCATTTTTATTCAAACAAAAAAAAATAAATGCATACTTTCAAAACTTGAGTTGCCAAGTCCTTAAAGCAAAATGCCTCTGGATTCTTCCTCAGTAGCATAAATTTGGAAAACATGAAATACTCTGCATTTCTAAAGAACACTCCAAATATATCCATTAATGACTCATTCTTTGCGAGAACATAATTTACTAAGATTGCACAGCTTTGCACCTAATTCTGAGTCTCACCCATTGTTCTATTTTACATACACTCGGAAAAGTTTTCTGGCAATCACCTTCCCCAGCCATTCTCTCTCTCCCTCTCAGTTTTTCTGGAGACCGGGTAGCGGGTGCCTGCTAACCAGAAAGTTGGTTCAGACTCAACAGTTCCTCCATGGGAGAAAGATGTGGCAGACTGCTTCCTTAAAGACTGAGGCCTTGAAAATCCTAGTGTGAAATTCTATCCTCCCATCGGGTCCCTAGAAGTTGGAATCCATTGGACAATAATTTGTGGGAGTTTATTACACTTTTAATGGAGACTGTAGCCATCACTCTGTAGGACATAAAAGGATGCAGAAGCAAGAGAGCTTATTAAAGAAAGCCTACCACATGGATTTATGCAGGTTTTTAAGATTTAAAGTCAAGCTTCACCAAAAGCTGCTGCATGAGCGTCCGAAGATTCCTAAGAGTTACCCCAAGACAGAAAGCCACTTTCCGAGTTACAGTGTGGACTCCATCAGGCAAGGCCGTGATGTTGGCTGGGCTGAAATAAACCATCAAAATGTAGTACGGGCGCTTGTCTCAGAAGCAGAAGAAAAAGGAAGTGATTGCACCCCTGTAGGAAGAGAAGCCTCCCCAGACTCGGGCCCTAAAATGAGGGAAACAGTATTCACATCTCACAAGGCTGCACCCTAGAATGCGCAGGCAGTACAAAGGGCCTTACGTTCTTGGAAGGACGTGAAGAGCATCTGGAAGCGGCTGTTCCGACTGCCTTCATCTGCCCACATGCGGATCACCCCCAGGCCCGTGCGCAGCATCACGTCGTTGGCCACCGTGCTGCAGAACTTGGCTTTCAGGTCCTCCACGGAGCTGCTGCCATCGTACACAGCCACAAAGTTCCGCTTGCACTCGTTGGAATTCTGCATCTCATAGTCCAAGAAGCGCAGGTAGATCTGAAAGACAACAGCAAAGGTGGAGTGATCTCACTTGACTGAAACGAGAGTTGTCTGGGTGAGAGCTGGCCTTCCTGCAAAGGTGGTGTGACTTCACATAACCAAAACGTGAGCCGTCTAGGTGGGATGTGAGCCGTCTGGGTGAGATGTGAGCCGTCTGGGTGAGACGTGAGCCATCTGGGTGGGATGTGAGCCGTCTGGGTGGGATGTGAGCCGTCTAGGTGGGATGTGAGCCGTCTGGGTGAGATGTGAGCCGTCTGGGTGAGACGTGAGCCATCTGGGTGGGATGTGAGCCGTCTAGGTGAGACGTGAACCATCTGGGTGAGACACGAGCCGTCTGGGTGAGAGCCGGCTTCGAACTTCTCTATAGGTTTCACAAGTTAATTCTGATTTCAATCAGCCTCATTAATTTCTGTAGGTGTGTGAACAGCAGGGTGCAGTGACCTACACGTCCCCTGCTCTGCTGTCCCTCTGCTGTCTGCGGTTATCGTGCCTGCTTTAGCTCTGTTGTTTCGTTTGCGTTGTATTGGGTTTTGTTGTTTGGAGTTTTGTGTGTGTGTGTGTGTGTTTGGTTGTGTTTTTTTTCCATTTCACTGTTCTATTTTCCAGAGTTGAATATTTTTTATTCAAATGAACCATAGGTCTTCTCGAAGCTTATTACTTATTTTTGCAAATACAGACGCTCTTAATAATTTTAATTGGTACACACATTTAAGGGAGCTCTGGTGGCCTATTGGCAAGAAGCTGTGCTGTAATTCCAAAGGCACATGGTTCAAGGCCACAAGCTGCTCCATGGGAGAAGGATGGGCAATCTCTTCCAGTGCAATTAACCGCCTCTTAAAACCCACTGAAGCGTCAGCTATGGCTCAGTTCTGACTCAATGGTACACAACAACAGCACCACACACATTGTCTGACACTTCTAAATTTTCAGGGCTTCTACTGGCAAAAAGTATGTGTGAAATTAAATAATGTGTTGTTGCTGTTGCTGTTGTTGTTGTTGATTGTCTTCAAGTTGAGCACGATTCATAGCAACTGTAAGAACAAAAGGCCTAAAGCCCCTCTACAACTATTGACATTTATCAGTTTGTAGTTTCCGGAGGCATGTTAGTTAGGAAGTGGATGCCAATGGCAAAAATGAAAATGGTATGCAGGGGGAAGTTTTGGATTTTTGTTTGGTTACTTATTTCACATAAATCACAGCTTCTTATAAAGTAAAAAAATATTAAACCAAGCAGAGAAAGCCAAGCCCATTCTCACCTAGCACAAAACCTAACACTATTAGTGCTATTTAGAAAAGTAAATTAGCATTTAATGACTAAAAGGTACAGTGCAACTAACACTCACTCTCTATCTATCTATCTATCTATCTATCTATCTATCTATCTATCTATCTATCTACCTACCTACCTACTTACCTATCTATCTACATCTATCTATCTATCTATCTATCTATCTATCTATCTATCTATCTATCTATCTATCTATCTATCTAGCATCCATCGTCTGTCACAGTTCTCCAATAATTTCCAGGGCTACCAAAAGACTATTTTGGAAGAAGTGAAGCCAGTATATACCTTTAAGAGGAGCACAGTGGGATTTTATCTCACATATTCAGAGTATGGCATCAGAAAGGCTCTGACTCTGGGAAGGACATCCCACATGGGGAAGCTGAGAGTCCAGGACCAGAAGGAGAGCCTCGATGAGATGGACTGACACAGGAGTTTCAACACGCCTGGGGCACAGCAGTGCCTGCGAGGAAGGGGCAGGACCTGACAGTGTGTCATCTTGCTGGACACGAGTGGCTGTGAGTCAGAACTGATGTCAGGGCATTTGACACAATTACTACACACAACTTCTCACTGCCTTGCCATAGACAGATGAAGAAACTCAGAGACATGATACAAATGGGAAATTAGACAGTAAGTTGCTCTAGCTCCCTGAACCATAATTCTTCCAAGATACTAAATAGAGATACACTGTTTTATAATCAATAGATACTATTTGCCTTTGTACCAAAGTGCTTTCAAAATTATGTGCAATTGACTGAGACTACAGACAAGTCTGTAGAAAGGGTGCATATCAAATCATCTATCCCTGTAGAACTAAGGTATCCAAGCAGTGTCTACACTGTTCCTGGCAATAGTGATACAGCAGGAAGAAGGGGTGACAGACGCCAGGTGAAAATAAGTGTCAATTAGATGACGACACAGTAATGGGGGTCAAACTGTAAGAAGAGACATGAAGTCAAAAGAAGTGGCTTGCTTAAGGAGAATACCCAGAAAGGTTCTGAAATAAATAATATAGTTCTCTAAGTGCCTTGTTTTATTTTTTTTAATAACAAAGACTGTGCTATTTTTGCTTAATAGCACTACTTAAAAAAAATCCCACGTAAACACAAATAAGAAAACTAACAGTTTTAATTCAACTTTAATGTCAACTTTTTCTATCACCTTAAGAATACCTGGGGGGCAGTGATTTTTAAGGTACTGGGATGCTAAATGAAAGGTTGGTAGTTCTAGTCCACCCGCTGCTCCATGGGAGGAAGATGGAGCCCTCTTCCCATGACTCGCAGCCTTGAGAACACAGTGGCGGGTCATGAATTTTTCATCACTTTATATGCAACTTCCTTCTTTAATTCATTAACTGTGAGTCTTTTCCAAAAACTTATATATATACATGTCATTTCTGTCTAAACTCTAAGTTTTACTATTTCAGTTAAAAAACAACAAGAAAAAACCCAATTCTGGTTCTTTGCCATCCATGTTCTCATTGAATAGTAACTGTGTCAACTGGTTTTTAGGACAGTCATTTCTCATCTTCATTGCTGCTTCCAGGAAAGCAAGGGGACAGTCACTGGGGAAACAAGAGTGATCGTCTCCCATGGGATCTGTAGCCTCTGCAAACCAGCCGGAGGGTCAGCTACAAGTCATCTCCAACTGGACAGCACACAACCACCAGATGACGGGAAAGTGTAGAGTGCTCGCTGGGGGCAAGGTCTAAGTGGTGCTCCCACCAAACTTCAAGCTAAAGAGACTCTGAAGAGAGGGTGGCACCAGCAGAAAGATCCCGTGCTCTCCTGTCATGCTGCCTTGTGCCGGCTGTGCTCAAACAAGGCGTTGGTTAAGCTTCATGGACAGAAGCGAGCCAGTGTCCCTCCCCTGCTAGTGACATCCACAAGGGCACATACCATTCCTGCCATACCTTGGATACCCCTCTGAGCACTTCAAGGATGTGTCGCCAATTTCCTTACTGGACTGAGTTTTATGTTTCTATTGTACTAATATATCTAATAAAGAAGTCTAAGCATCACATTATTTTAAGCATCACCTTACATATTTGTTTTCAAAATGCCATTCTTTCAGCTCATGGCATTCACTTTGCATGGAATAACCACTCTTCATGTTATTTCCAGAAATGTCCCTCTGATGACTGAGGACGAAGTTCAATTCTAGCAACACCAACTGAGATTTTTCCAAACAGGCAGTGCTCATTGTACTCACTCAACTACATGAAGCAGTTTGGAAGATTATCCAGCTGATCAGAAAGGCTCCATAGTTGTGCCCACTCCAAAGAAAGATGTCCTCACAAACTGCGGCAATTCTCAAACAGCGTTAACAGTAAAAAGATGCTGGAGGTAATTTTAAAAAGGCTGGAGCAGAAGTGAACAGAACAAGGGCCGGTCATTCCAGCAGAATAATGGAATGCTGCAGGATTGAAAATCAAGCACAGTGTCCTTTACAATTGGATCCTATCATCACACAATCTGCTGAGCAAAGAGAGAAGTCAGATTATACAAAGAATGCAGTGCCAGGTGCGGAGGAAGTTGCACTACCTGTGATATGCAGGTGGCACAACCTTGGGCTTGCTGAAAATGAAGCAAACTTGAAGCACTTCCAGATGGAGATCAAACACTACCATCTCCAGTCTGGATTATGCTTCAGTGTAAAGAGACTGAATGTCCTCACAAAATGACTGCTACACAGCCTCAGAGAGAATATGGACTTTACTGAGGGTTTCCTTTTGACTTGGATACAGAATCATTGTCTCTGGAAGCAGCTGTGAAATAAGTTACTGTCTTGGGAACATCTGTTACTAAAGTCCTCTTAAGACGTTAACAAGCAAAAATGTCACTTTGAGGATCAAGGGGTTGCTGCCCCAAGTTATGCATTTCTAGTAACACAGACCATACGTGATGACCCTGGACAATGGTTCATGAAAATCAATGCCTCTGAATCACACTGGTGGCAAAGAGTTTTAAATATACCACGAACTTCCAGGAGAACAAACAAATCCATCGTGGAAGAAGTGAGGCAGAATGTTAAGAAGTGAAATAGGGACACTTTATCTCGCATGCTGTACATGTTGGCAGGAGGGAATGGTCTCTGAAGAAGGATATCACACCTGGTTAGGAGAAGGTCAGTGAAAAAAGATTAAGAGTACTCATAAAATATTATTCAAAATGCGTGACCCTGGAGGACACTATGTCGAGTGAAATATCTCCGTCACAAAAGGACAAATACTGCATAGTTCCACTGTTGTAAAACAGGACTGGCATTGGGGTTGCGGGGAGACTAAGAAAGATGGGGTAAATTATGTATACTGCATTGAAAAAGATGAGGGAGAGAACTGTTTAAAAGAGATAAGTGATTAGGTATTGTTATCATGACAGGAGTCCAGAACAAAGGCTGCATAGTGGAGTGGACTTTGGTGGAGGGACTGTATAACAATGAAAGAATTGTTTTTTTATTTTTTTTTTTACTTTTCAAAGAGAAAAGTAAATTAGGGGGGAAGGGGTGGACAGGAAGAAAAGTGCAACAAGGAATAAATGGAAATCCAAAGTCTCTGTAAACTTTCATTAAAATGAATTTAAAAAAAAAGAATAAGAGTGTGAAAGCAATGGACTGACATAGGTCCTGCAGCAACAGGCTCAAACACAGCAATGACCATGAACGTGGCGCAGGGCCGGATGGGGATCACTTCTGTTGTACAAAGTCAGTG